AGTAAGGTGCAAAATCATAAAGAATTTCTACTGGGAGTAGGCGTAAGGTACGTATCATTGGAAAGAGTTAGTGATTAGTAGAATTGGTCCTGAAAATCATCGAAACTCGGAAACAGTAAAAGAAGCGAATAATGGTACCTCATTTCGAGTAGCAGAAGTTGGATGAGCCTACCTCTTCTCAGAACTGGTAACTTTGAATACAAATCACAGTTTGATGGTCAAATTTGAACTTTTGAGATTGGCAAAATTTGTTAAGCATCTTTTGAGTAGGTTTTTTAGTGCTGGGAAGCAAGGAGCACTGTACAGTTATCGAAGGAGGAGAAATCTTTGGGACTGCTATGCCGTTGATGCAAGATTTCTTTGGATTCTCAAAGTTGGAACTCAACAAATCGATGAAACGGTTTTAAATGCAAATGCGGGCTTGAAAGTATACGTCAGAAAGAAAATACGACGAAAAGAATTTTTTTTGCAAAGAATTTAGTAGAAAAATGACAATGGTAACCGATTTCAAACTTTTTTACAGCAGTTTACAGACAAAGCAACAAATAAAAATTTGAGAGTCTTTAACTTTTCCAATATCACACCAGCCGTACTGCAACTGTCAGGTTTACAGACTGAATGGAAAGTAATAGTCGTAGGTAGAGGGAAGTACTGCATTTGCGAGTAGAATGACCGGTCACGAACTAACGGATAAGAATATGGCTGGAAGTGCTCAAAAAGGAGAGGTGATTTCTGGAAATCGCTCAGGGCTTACTATGCGGACTGTGACTAAGTTAGAAGATCCACACAGCAAAATGAATTGACGATCTTCCACTGCTACTGACAGCAGATATTGCTGTCGTTGCTGACTGCAAGTAATGCCAGTCGGAGCAAAATTGAGCCCAATTTATGTGATTGTAGAGGGGGAGAAGTAAAAAAAAAAAGAAAACTGAAAGGTTTTAATTTGCCAGCAAAATGCAACAGAGTTAAAAATTTATTCATTGAGAAAAAAATGAAAAATACTTGCAAGCTACACCCTCAAAATTCGTACCCCCCAATTTTTTTTCTTTTGCGAAAGTTTGATTGTTTTTATGAGACGCTAAGAGTTGCAGATTAATTATCCATGGCAGAAGTTTCAACAAATGATAACTGATTAGAGTTATTATAAGTTTTTTTACTTGCTTACCTTGTTCTCAGTTTTTTAAACTAGATGATTATAAATAAACGTGGGTATAAGCAACGTCCCTAAGGCGTTGGTGTTGCAAAAACATTGATATCTGTTTATGATTATTTACGGAATTTTGGATATTTGTCTGCGTGCAGCAGAATATTTGAGGATCTTAAATCGCGTTTCACTTCGATTTCATTATGCACAGTGTGTAAAGCATATAACATACTCAGTGTTGCTTTAAACCAAAGATCGCTTTACTGCAGTGAGAAATGTAGTGACATTACGTACGAGCAAAACACACACCACGAACAAATGCACACAACAACTATAAGCAGCTGGCGGTTTTGGCTGTTTTTTTTCAACTTTTGTCATAGTCAAACACTATTGGGTTATTGCTTCTGGAACGTTCCCTCCGCCAAGTATTGATTTTCATTTCCCCCCATCTCTGTTATGTAGTTCTTGTTATCCATTTGGAAGCAGGCATTACTATTACTTTACAGCCAGCTTTTTGTTTGTAGACGCTTGCTGCTGTCCTTGTCGGCAAATTTTACAAGGTTATTATATAAAAAAGTTGCTAGTAAAGGTTAAATTTTTCCTTATGAAACTGCCGCAGAAATTTCAGCATAGGAATTTTTAATCGTAAGAATTTCAAGATTTCTTGATCCTTAACTAACTAATGCTCTTATCCATCACTAGTGAATAGTTTTGCGGGTAAGGAAGCTTACTCGCTGCGACAGAATTGCAGCACTTTCATCTAGTTGCCCAGTAAACTTTTTGGCAATTGAACTGTTATTACAGAGCCGCAATCTCCATTTGTCGTGATATAATTATTTACAAATAAACAAGAAAAAAAGGTTCTATCTAATTACTTCAAAATTCTCGAGTTGCAGTTGACATTTGATGTTTGTTCATCACAAACATACGCCATAAAACAGGTGAGTTTTCGAAGTGGTATTTGCTGCTGCAAAGTGAAATTATTTTTTTTGAAAAAGAATAAAAAAACCTACCTTAAGCTAAGTATTATCGGTAAGATTGAGCTATCTCTGGATCTATACAATCCAGTCTTACGTGCATTTTTTGCCGTTGTGTTACTCTAAAGAAAAATGAGATATTTTGATTATTTCTTTTTTTGTCTTGTTGATGTCCATCTGACACTTTTAAAGTGTTAACTGTTTAACGTCGTTAATTTCATAATTTTTGTCGTAAAAAGTACAGCAAAGGTGAGGATAACTCTTATGTGGTGTAAAGAAAGTTTACTTTTATTAGCATTCATTATTGTAAACGTCTGAAACAAAATAAACAATGTCGTGAAATCTTTTAATCTCTTAAAACAAAGAAAAACTTCTGTTTTTCTGAGCACCGAGTTAAGTTTTGCATCGCGTTTTTCGTTTCACATTTTCACCTTTTGCATTTACATTAAGGTCGTTACGCAATTGCATACAAGATGTTTACGTAGACAGTGTCAAGGTAAAGAAATGTTTAACCAGAAGAACCAGTAGAAAAAATTTTTAAACCTAATTAGTCCTTCTAACTTTTTTGCCTTCTCTGATTTCTACAGCAGCATTTGATGTCACACAAAAACTGATTTTGCGCCTGTCGCGATCGATGCTCTGACTTGAGAAAAAAAATTTGTCTGTTATTTTCCGGGGAAGTTTGTTTCTTAGGACTTTACTGTTTAAAATTTTTGAAGTATTAGGTGATGAACTGGAAATAAAAAAAAAATCAGTAGAGCTGCGCAGCAACATTTTCAAACTTGATTTTGCTGCAAATATTTGACTAAAATAATTGCTCATCACAATGTTAACTATTCTAACTTATTCTCCTGTAATTATTAAACTGATTTAATGGTGTAATAAATAAACAAAAAAATAAATTTTAATTTTGTTTTTACTTTGAAGTTTTATTTCAATAGTAGCTTCTGAAAGAAGTTTTAGTCTGTGCGTGACCTTAAAAAACTGTGTTGAATTGCCGGTCAAAAAACTTTTAGGTCTGCTTCAGTATTTTGTGATATTATTTTGCACTATTAAAGAAGTACAAGCTTTTTTCACATTTTCTGAGTGTAATGTATACTGTATTTAATGACGCCATTAAAGTGTGACAATTAAAAGAATACAAATTGAGACAATGTTTTTTCTTAATATAGCAGCAGCGGACTTTAGTGTGCCCTTATCATGCCTCACTATTGTTGGTTTTGACGTCAACAAATGGCTAGAAGTTGTGATTAGCGTCAAAAAAAAATTGTATATTTAACTACATGAAATAATCATCTCCTTAGCAGAAAAGAAAATCGATTGTGTACTCCTCGTTTTACAACACCTTATCATTCCTTTACAAATCAGTAATGAAACAGAAAGAACTTTTTGTGACGACATTTCTTTTTTTAGAAAAAAGTTCTTTACTACTAAACTACTGAATTTTTAGAATTTATTAGAGCAGTTTCAGTACAACGTATTTATAACGTTAAAATTGCTACATTTTCTATGGGTTTGTTGGCAACCTAAACAAATTTGCATTTGCAGTATCTTTACGATCCCCTTAGGGTCCTGTTTCAATATAGAAAGGTGGGAAAGCCGAAAGATGTTTATTAGTTACGTTTCGTAATTGGAATTTTGTTTTAATCTTTCAAAGTTGTGGATGTTTACAGAATTCAGTAAGCATACTTGCAGCTTAATATACTTCAGAGAAGAACTTGAGAAGTCTACAGAAACATAAACATAAAATACTTAGTGAAGCTTCCTAAACTTCAGTGTGGTCGTGTTCCGTTAGCTCTCAAGTTTTCCCTTCACTTTTACAGGTGAAATAGGGCTCTATAAAAATTATGTTCCAAAACCGGAGAAAGAATGAGCATTGAAAGACGGAAAAAGCTGAGCGCCTTTCGCTCCCAGTTTTACTCATGAGACCTGATCTAAGATCTTGAGCTAGATACGAGACAGATATAGGAGTGATATACTATTCTAACAGGTCTTGTTTTTAATTATCTATGTTTAAGAGATATGAAAAAGTGGTATTCGACAGCTTAAGTCTTTTGAATAATTTTTGTCAGACGTCTGAAAAGACTGGGATTTTCTTCTGGGAATCTATTTTAGTAGCCTTGCCAACGTACAATTTGAATCATTGATATCATTTTCGAGACTTCGATGTGACACGGAAATAAATTTCATAATTTTAATTTTCTACTCTGAGCAGTAATTCGTAATGTTATTCTTAATATTGGGCACAGTTATTAATCGTGGCATTTTCACACATTTCCTTGCACTCTCTGCTGCATACTGAAAATCGCCGTTGCTCTTGGATTAAGAAAGCCATCAAGACCAAAATCCACCTCAAATTGCCTACTAAGTTACTTTGTTTGATTAGAGCGGTATTTATCTGCCTGACTGCATGAAATCAGAAAAAACAAGTGGCAACTACGTGTTAGCGAGATGTTCGCTCTAAAATATCCCTGCCTGTGACGTCTGTGCTGCTTTTCTCCTTAAACAGAAAAGTAAGAGACGGAACGGGCAAATGCCAGAAAAGGGGTTGATGCTTCCTTAGAAAAAGGCACGAAACAGAAAAAAACCTTTATTTTAAGGGATCAAAAACAACTCTGTCAATCTTTTTTCAGCCTAGCTTCAAAGAGGCATATATTTTTCAGATTTCTAGTTTGATTTTACACGTTCCAAACAGTACTGGTTAAAATAATTTATCAAACGAAAGCTACAGAGCTCTTCAAAACTACTTTGGTTCTGCTTTTTTCTTCATATAAAAATGAGTATAATCTTAAACAGCTGAGGCAGATATGAAGCTTTTGCTTAGTTGTTGCGTTCATCGTTTAACACCAAAGCGACCAGTCCCGTAGTGAGGGCTTAAGGGCCTACCTTTCCATTTCAATGATAATCAAATCATTGAAAGATTCCACTGTTTAGTACTACTGTGAAAGCTTTTTTACTAACATCTATTTAAAAACCTAACCTTATTGCCAAAAAAGCGATACTAACCATGCTGGCCAAATAAGACATTAACAGCCAAGGCCTTAAGAATCTTCCATTGAAAAAAATCATTATTTTCAAAAGATGTATTTTAAGAGCAAATTTACAACCTCTTCAGGAAAGCTAATTGAGAGGCTGCTTTTGCAAATGCCCTGAACAAAATTTGCTATTATAAAATTAAATAACAACGAACATGAGCAAGGCAGTTCTATATCCCTAATAAATTTCACAATTGTGCTGCATTTAGTCAGTACCCACCAAATTACTATCAGTAATTGATCTTTGTCAGTATAGAACAAAATACCAGAAGCAGATTATAATTTTAAAAAATCTTAATTTAATTTGATATACAGATCTGGAGAGAAGAGAAATACTTCTTGTGGTAAAAAGTATATGCTTCAAAAACAGCAAGATGAACTTTTTTTTCTTAAAACAGCAACGAAAAATGCACCTTTAAAAAAACAAATATCATATTTCACGTAAATATGCTTTATTGTTATTTTGTAATTACTAGACAAAAATCATAAACTGTTTCGCTAAAATAACTTGTCACGATAATTGTATGGTTGTACTAGGTTGTTTTTTTAACTTTCAAAAAGGCCACAACTGATTTTGAATTTTTGGTAAACAGTTGATGATTGATCTTCGTGAGGCAAAAGTTGTCAAAATACACTCGTTTTACTAA